TGTGGTATTTTGTGGAAGAGCCACACTCAAGGGGCCAAAGAGCCACATGTGGCTTGCGAGCTGCGGTTTGCCGACCACGGTCTTATGAAACGTAGGTAATAAACTCTTCTTTCAAAGGCAGTTGCCTCTGTCTGCCACCTCACCTTCCTGATGAAAACAAGTCCGTCTCTCCTGGCTGCAAACATTCCACAGCTGCCCCGGGTCCCAATTCTGTTTTGTTTTTTTTTAATTGATTTCAGAGAGGAAAGGAGAGGGAGAGAGAGATTGAAACATCAATGATGAGGGAGAATCACTGGTCAGCTGCTTCCTGCACTTCCCCACATTGGGGAATCTAACCCCCAACCTTGTGCCCTTGACAAGAATCGAACCCAAGACCTGCCTCAGTCTGCAGGCCGGCGCTCTATCCACTGAGCCAAACCAGCTAGGGCTCCCGGGTCCCAGTTCTGTGCGAATGCTCAGCAGGTGCCCAGCTCTTGGCAGCGTCCACGCAGGACGTGTGCCTCTGAGGCTCTGTACACCGTGGACACATCCCCCCTCCCCCACTCCCCGCCATAATACCAAATACTCTTCGGCTGCTGCAATTTGTTTGTTTGTTTGTTTTTTTAAACTGGATTTTCATGTGTTTTCCCTTGTTCAAAAGAAGAATAGACCAACCCATTATTTTGCTTCATCGTCTTTGAATAGAAGCAAGAGGCCCCCTGGGTTTTATGTGGTGGAACATGTCTACGCCGCCCAAATGTAGACTTTGCACAATGTGGCTCTTGCCCGCAAGCCCAGTAACTGGACATGCGACAGATGTGTCACCCGCAGTGTCCGTTTGATGTGCACAACCCTGGCTGCTTCAGAATGACCGCCACTGGGAACCCGCAGCTGCTGCTCTGAGACGAGGAAACAGGACTTCTAAGAAAACGAGTGATTCCTCACTAGAGGACAAATCGAACAGAAATAGAACCACGGGGTGAGGCACACAGTACACGTTTCCCCTGCAAAATAAGTGTGATAGATTAAAACAAGACACGTGATACAGTGCTGAGTTTAGAAAATTAAGTCAAACATTAAAGGATTGGGTAGCACCTCTACACACTTCAGGCTCGAACAAAACCCCACAGAGTTCTTAGCATAATGTATTAACGCGCAGTAACCTCCATCGGGCGAGGAATGACAGAGCCGCGGTGCCTTGGTTCTCGGTTTGCTTGGTTTCATCTGGTGGCAGTGGGCCCTCTCTTAGCTCCCCAGGGCCTCCCTTCCTGAAATGCAAGGATTGGATGGCCGCATTCTCCCATTCTAAAATTCTAACGTGAATAATTTATGCGGGATCCTCTCTATGACTCTTCCAGGCCCATCTTTAGGTCATTAAATGGAACCTCCTGCCCCTCCCACCCCCCCGCAGAGACTTTGCCTCTCAATTTATTAGCACTACCAAAGACTTTTGATGTGCCACAATATAGACACATGCACTTACATTTTATAATAAAGAAATGAAAAATAAAAAGATGAATGGCTGAAATGGAAAACTCTGACAATTATCCCTCAAAGCAAGGAGGGTAGCTCGTGTTCAGCACAGTTAGAGTCGGGGGTCCCACCATTGGGTTGGCAGATGGGGGCTCAGAATTGCTCTCTGATATGGAAGTGACCGTTGACTTGGGCAACTTCAATCCTCATGCGGGTAGACTCCAGACCCCTTGTTTTGCCCGTGGAGTGCTTGTTAGGAATATGAGCGATAGTTAAAAACTGGATTCAAACTCCAGCCCTGTCACCTATGACCAGGGCGAAAGCAGACACATTATTCCAGGCTTTGAAGCTCAGTTTCATCATCTCTAAAACAGAGCTGACGAGAATCCGGACTGGGAGTGACTGTGGGGATTGGTGAGACAATGCACGCAGGGCACTTAGCCCCTTGCTCTTGCTGAGTGGTGCTGGAGAAGCACTTCCTGTTGTTACGCTCTATTGCAGCGGTTACCAACCTGTGAGTCGTGACCCCTTTGGCGGTCGAACGACCCTTTCACAGGGGTCGCCTAAGACCATCCTGCATATCAGATATTTACGTTTCGATTCATAATAGTAGCAACATGACAGTTATGAAGTAGCCACGAAAATAATTTTATGGTTGGGTCACAACATGAGGAGTTGTATTTAAAGGGCCAGAAGGTTGAGAACCGCTGGTCTATTGCCTCTGCGGACCAAAGAGGGGCCGCATACTAAACCTGACAGGCTCAGAGGAGGCCTGCAGGGTGGGCCTTGCAGACTCAGAGACCAAAAGTAACCACCCAGGAGGGTCTGAACATTAAAATTCCCAACGAAAAGCAGGTCCTGGGGGTAGTCACATCCTAGGCCTGTAGCTTCCTTGACAGAGGTCAGTCTTTACAGTAACGGAGCCTGTCTGTTGTCCTTTTGCATCGGAGATAACGTACCTGTGAAATGTCAGAGTAATCTCCTTTTCCAGACCTTTCAGGGCACAGCCACACACCAGAGCACAAGCCCACAGACACCCTCATTGTTATCTTGTTCCCAGAAATGCCATCTCCCTGTGCTGTCAATGCTGATGGTTAACTGTCCTTTACTCTTCACCCAACCTCAGAGGCTGCCCTCCTTTGCTTTCTCCTGCCCCCTTCATCTCCAGCCATGGACTTCCTGTGAGCCTCCTTCCACCTCCTCCTCCGATTCTGATGTATCAACTCAGCTGCAAAACTGCCATTTTCTCAATTCCTGGAGATTTCGTTTCCCAGCAATTGTCAGTTTGGCCCAAATAAGCTCATACCAATTCTCTACAGCAGTGGTTCTCAACCTTGGCTGCACATTAGAATCACCTGGGAATCTTTTTAAAAACCTGATTTCTGGGCCTCCTCCTCCGGAAATTCTGTTTCTTTGTGATGCGGTGGGGCCACAACATTAGTCATAAAGAAACAGAATTTCTGGAGGACGAGGCCCAGAAATCAGGATTTAAAAGATTCCCAGGTGACTCTAATGTGCAGCCCAGGGTGAGAACCACTGGTCTACAGGTTTAGACTTTTCTTATGTCGACACCTTGGACCTCAGTCCTGTGCTTTATGGTCTTGTAGGATTAGGAAAGCTGAAGACAAAATGAGATGTGATTTGTGAACACAATAAAGGATGTTGGAGGAAAGGAGAGTCTAGTGTAAGAGATGAACCATGTTGCGCATGTAGAAAGATCACAGTGGAGTTTACAAAGGCAGAGATTAACTTAAAAATTATATAAAACCCCCCTCCAGTATCCGACTGGGGAGGAACATAACGTCTGGTCTCCCGTGAAACTGTAATGCCTCGGACATTTTAATAAGCAGAGGGCTGGCGGGGAGGGCTCTGCCTGGCATTTTGATGGTAACAATAGGAAACAGCCAATGGTTTCATACCCTGTTCATGTCCCTGGAGAATAACATGAAATAGATGTGAAGCAAAAATAGGTCTTTTTCTGCTTGGGGTGGACATTTGTGTTTTTTGGTCTTTTGAGCATCCAGCTCTTCTTTGTGAGCACCCAGCTTATGGGACACGTCTGGGGTGGGGGCAGCACCCATCTCCCACCCCGAAGACAAAGGGCGCATCTTCTTTTTCCAACCAGGGAGCATTGGGGAGGAGAGTGAGAAGAGAGATGGGGAGGGGGGGGGAGCTAATGAAGGGCATGCACTCAGCCACGAGGGCTCCGCTCTGGATCCGCAGAGGAGCCTGGGAAACAGTGGTGGGAGCCAGGGTCTCAGCATGGTCTTGCTTAAGTGGGGTGGGCCCTGGGGTGTTTATACACCGACCTTGGGTGGTGCTGGGCTGCTCCTGGGGGCTCGCCGTCCCGCCCTCTGGCTTCTGTGTTGGGGAAGCTCCAACCAGACGTGGGCACTGGCCATTAACTCTGGGCGGGAGCACACCGGCTTGTCCTGCATGGCTTCAATTTTTGGCCAGAGAGTCATACCTCTTCCCTTAGGTGACTTGAAACTCGCCATCTTAGTGCAGTATGTTGTGGATGCTCTTATAGAAAAGACAAGAGGTAAGCAACAGCCAGGGTGTGGAGGAAAGGGAACCCTTACCCTGCTGGTGGGAATGTAAATGGGTACAGCAATTATGGAAAACAGTGGCAGTTCCTCAACATTTAAAAAATAGAAGGAACATATGACCCAGCAATCCCGGTCCTGGGTGTACACCCAAAGGAAATGAAATCATATCTCAGAAGAGACACCGGCGTTCCCGTGTGCATGACAACATTATTCCCAACAGCAAGGACATGAAACAGCCCGCATGTCCTCCTGGGCAAGTGGATCATGAAAATGGGACACACACACAGTGGAATATTATAAGGAATATACAAGGAAACATTATGAAGCCACAGGAAATGCTGACATTTGGGACAACGTGGGAGAAACTGCAGGGTACTGTGAAAAGTGAAATAAGCCAGGGAGAGCAAGGCCAATATTGCATGGTATCACATGTGGGATTAAAAAGTAGCCGATTCCATATAAAATGGTGGTTGGCAGGCACTGGGTGCGGGGGAGGAGGGGAAGTAGGGAGATGTAAGTCAAGAGTGTAAACTTGCACTTGTAAGAAGTTCTGAGGGCCCTGACCGGTTTGGCTCAGTGGATAGAAGTTCTGAGGGCCCTGACTGGTTTGACTCAGGGTTTGCGGACTGAAGGGTCCCAGGTTTGATTCCAGTCAAGGGCATGTACCTTGGTTGCGGGCCCATCCCCAGTAGGGGGCGTGCAGGAGGCAGCTGATCTATGTTTCTCTCTCATCAATGTTTCTAACTCTCTATCCCTCTCCCTTCCTCTCTGTGAAAAATCAATAAAATAAATTTAAAAAACGAAGTTGTGAGGGTTAATAGTGCAGCATAGTGACTATAGTTAGTAATGTGGTATTGGCCACTTGAAAAGCTGCTGAGAGTAGATTTTAGGCATTCTCACCACACACACACACACACACACACACACACACACAACTATATGAGGTGATGTATGTGTTAATTGTCTTGGTCTTGGTAAATATCCACAATATGTATCACACAAGTTGTACAATTATATTTATCAATTATTCTACAACAAAGTTTGAAAAAATATTACCAGTTCTAAAAATTAAACAAAACCAAAGTAATAAGGTAGATTTTTCACCTAATAGTTAAGATCTATCCATGTCACTCTCTGTGAGAATAAGAAATAGCATAATACAATTTCTATACTGAAATAACACATGCATGCACAAGAAATACTCTTTTTCAATGATTTAGACCCATCTACATATATTAGAAACAGAAGAGTCATATGGAGCAAAAGGAATGAAGAGAGCAATGAAGGGAAGACATTAAAATAAGACAAGAACCTTGCAGATTGATACTGAATGTGCCAAGAGCTGAAATAAAAAATTTTGTACCTGAGGTTAAAAATAACACCACCAAAGTGATTCACTAGAACAGGAATGATTTACAACTTGAGATACTTAATACACTTACATACACTTGAATATAAGAAATTGCCCAAGTAGAAAGTCATTTCCATGTCATACCTCAAGACTTCCAAGAGTCTGTAAAATGACAGATTTGAGTTAAAATAATCTTTGTTACTCCCCCTCCCCCTGCTCCCCGTCACCCCGGCAGTTAGTACAGGGAAAAAGAAATAAAGGCTGAAAGAATATTTTTGTAGGATGGATGAAGAGCAAAGAACATTTAATGCCAAAGGAGTTACCAACAATTGGAAAATATCAATGTGGGGGTTGGGGGCCTGGGTGAAAAAGATGATGGGATTCAGCAAAGAAAAAAACACTTATAGACACAGACACCAGTGTGGTGATTACCAGAGGGAAAGAGGGGTAGGGGAAGGTAGAAGGGGGCGTAAATGATGATGAAAGAAGACTTGATTCAAGGCGATAAACGCACAATACAGTATACAGATGTATTACAGAATTGTGCACCTGAAACCTATACAATTTTGTTAACCAATGCCACCCCAGTAAATTCAATAAACATTTTAAAAAATTGAAACACGAGAAATGTTCATGGGTCTTATTTAAGAATAATAATAAGAGCCTGGCCAGTGTTCCTCAGGGCTTGAGCATCGACCCATGCACCGAGAACTTGCCGGTTCAATCCCGGTCAGGGGGCATGTAGTAGGCAGCAGATTGATGCTTTTGTTTCTTATCGATGCTTCTCTTCCTCTCCCTTTCCCTTCCTCTCTCTCTAAAATCAACATATTTTAAAAAGAAGAAAAGACAAAATATATAAATAATAAAATGGAGATAAACACATAGCTATTAAAAAAAATAAAAAAATAACAGTGTAAGCTTGATGAAACAATTTTCTCCACTAATGTCAGAGTGAAATTTAATGTTAGCAACATGATCACCAAAAATATAAGAAGACAAATGTTAAGAATTTTCCTGATGTTTTCCTCATGGCATTCTATTCTATTTTAGTCTCATGCATCAGCTACCCAAGATTTAAGACCTCGTGGAATGTACTCGCTGGAAAGAAATAAAAACTATATCTTCCCACATTGTACATGGCGGTAACAAAAACTTTCCTCATCACCTTTAATTTCTGTTCACAGCATTACAAAAAAATAATGTTCTTATTTATTTTTGGGGGGATCCGGCATTTTCCTCTTTAGCAAGGAAACAATCAAGAATTAGGTGATGAGGTGTTGGTATAGCAATGTGTTAAGACCTCAAAGCTGGTATTTAGGATCTTTGGCTTCTCATATTCTTTGCATAATCAGAAATCCAACATAATATTGGAATATTCTGAAAATTATTTAAAAAGTTTATATGTATATGAATTTATACACATATGCTAATTTTTATTTTGGATTTATCATTGATGAAATTAAATTTAAGTGCCTACTTCATATATCATTCTTGAAGGAGGGAATGCAGGATTAAAGGGAAAATATCCTCGCCCTCATGGTGTTTATATTCTCACGGATTAATGATGGCTAATTTAGAGCACAAAGTGTTCAATATGTTGATGCAATGACACCAGGAAAATTATTTTTATAAGATGTTTTTGAAATCGAATATATTTTTGTCCTGCTCAAGTGTCTCTTAAACATAGCCCATGTGGCTGTCATAACACGACTGACGACCACAAAGAGTTAAATATAACTTGGGTCAAATCACATCCCCAGGCAAACGAATGTCTGACACAACAGGCTTAAGCTGGAGCACCATAGCTCTTGACACACTGTGGATGTTTGAAGGCTGAATTAAACAGGAACATTAAACCCCGGGCCTGACATCTTTGTAGCCTGTGTACTTAGTACATTAGGATGCATTTTACACTTTTATCACTATTAATATACACTTGATCTAGAAATTAAATACATTCGTTCTAGCACAATCCTCTTTTGCTTCCATATATTCTTTTTATTCCTCCCCTCATCCTCAAAGTCCTGACCCTTTGTACAGCCACTTCTATTTTTTCCTGTTTTTTGTTTGTTTGTTGTTTTTCCCCTATCACTCTGATGTGCCTCCGTCTCCTTAAGGGAGCCGGGCTCCCGCTGTCTTTGTGAACTGTGTAGAGAGAGGAAAGACTATTGAACCCGCTCTTGTCTCAAGCTTACCAGGAAACATCTGAGTGGGGGAACCCAGGGCTAATCTCAAGGTAATTGCCAAGTGGTTCCCCCAGGGGAGCCACCGTCACCAAACCAACGTTATTAAATAAGGTCTGTTGTGATCGGACAATAGCTACTTCCAAACAAGTTACACATAGCCACCTCATTTTGGGTTTGGAAGTCATTCCTTTATTTCATCACATTTAGTGAACACTTACTTGGCGTGCACTCTTTACCAGGCATTCAAGGGCCTGTAAGACCTGCCATTTATTCATTTCCCACTGCATTCGAAGGACTTGGCATCCATCCTTTCTGATCCTTCCTTCTGCAACACCAGGCCGATGACATGATCTCCATGTTAGAAGTGAGAAGACTGAAGAACAGCGAGGAAACTGAAGGTCAAAGAGCCTCGGTGACCACCTCAGGACGTGTTTGTGAGGCTTCTAAATGCCTCCTGTCTCCATGGAATCCGGCTCCGAAGCCTGGTCCGCGCAGACACCCCTCCCAGAAAACGGAAAGAAAACCGGCTGTGACCGGGAACCCTAGAACTCGGATGGGGAGGAAGGTGCTGCGGAGGCTTTGGAGTCACGTAAAGGCTGGAGGGACAGCGTCGGGCCCAAGAGTGTCGGACCCGATGGCTGTGCGTTTTGGCCTGAGGAAACTTTTCTAAAATTTCACTTTTTATGTGTCTTCTCAAATCCTTTCTGGACGAACGCAGGGTACAACTAAATAAACCAATGAAGTACAGTCAATATTGGTGTGCGTGAAGTTGAGGCCCACCCACTGTTTTTGTGAATGGAATAATCTACATCAAATGATGTGTCCATAAGTCAGTGATATGGGAATTCTTCGTGTGGCTTGCAAATCTTAGAAAACTCATGGTGATACTCAGGTTAAACCACGGACCGGCTCTGTATTTTCCGGAAGTCTTTCTAATGTCATTTTGTCTCAGAACAGCTCCAAAGAAATGACAATAAGACTGGTTGATGGAAACTTAAGAGGGCAGGAATAGCCCTGACTGGTTTGGCTCAGTGGATAGAGTGTCGGCCTGCGGACTCAAGGGTCCCGGGTTCGATTCTGGCCAAGGGCATGCACCTTGGTTGCGGGCACATCCCCAGTATGCAAGAGGCAGCTGATCGATGTTTCTCTCTCATCGATGTTTCTAACTCTCTATCCCTCTCCCTTCCTCTCTGTAAGAAATCAATAAAATATATTTTAAAAAATTAAAAAAAAAGAGGACTGGAATACAGAAACAAATGTGACCCATCAGGCGATAAATCTGCTAGGGCCGTGTTTTCACAAGCACCCCTCAAGGCCACATTTGACTGCCATTTATGATGAAATTGAATCAGAAACTTAACTAGAAAAAACACATGACCACTATTATTTTTAGTGCTGGCAAAAAAATCTTAGATTTGTATTAAAACAAAACAAAAGGATGGGGCCAATTAACAGAGTCCCTGCTAAGGAAGGCTAAGACCTAGAGGCAAAGTTTTAATTTTTTCATTGATTTTCCTCCCACATCTTGAATGTTTTCTCAGAAACACCAACTGCATGTTAAAAATAAGATCCCAGCACTCATTTCACGCCAAACATATTCCTGAATTCTGTGCAATATTGTTTCATCTTTTCTGCCTCTAGGGGGAAGTGTGTTTTCAACAATTCTGTCCTCGGAAGGTATTTTCTTTGTGGGCTACGGCGTTGGGGACGATCTCCAGTGTGACTTCAGGGATGGCTTGACAGGAAGAGGAGACTCTTTGACAACCTGGAAGGGCTCCTTCCGACTTTAGAGGGTGCCACCAGGATTTGGGGGAGAAGGTCAGACGGACGACAATTGGTGGAGAAAACTCTGTTGGCATTTCTAACAAAGAACCACATGCTAAGGTTTCCCATGTAACGCTGTCTGGCCGGCGAGCAGAGGATGAATGTAGACAGGGCTGTTACTTCACAGAGCTGAAAAACAAGTAGTCGAATATTTTATAGAAAATTTGCCACCGTATTTTAGCAACTTAAAGTTAAAAAATATGGTTTGTAGATATTGATGAAAACATTTCTGAAGCCTATAAAAAAGTAGTAGTGTCTGTCACATCTTGTTTAGGGCTAACATTGTTTTTAAGGTTTTCTTTTCTTTTTTTAAGAAGTAGTAATGTGTTTATTCACACGTTCCACAAACTAAATTTCATCAAACTTTAAAAATAATTTCTATATCTGTAAATAAAATTAGCCCCTTTCAGTACTGTGGGTTACAAATATTTCCCCAGGTTTTTTTTTTTTTTTTTGGGGGGGGGGCTAATTTTATTTTGCAGTGTTTCCCTGTAACTTTCTTTTGTTTTTATTCAACAATTGTAGCCTGAAAGAATGCACTCAGTGAACAGGTTAGCAATTCTTTGAGAGTTAAAAAGGTGGTGTTCCCCCCTCCCCATTTCAGTATTTTACAGATTGGAAAGAAACAATATTTAAAAATTGACAAGTTATTTAAATATTTTTTTTCCTTCTTTCTGGGTGTGATTCATCTTCACGTTTATAAATGTTGCAAAAAGTCTATTATAAAATGTTAGTAATCTTACTGTGTTGTATATTCTCAAAACTTCACTCAAAGTGAATTTTTGGTATAAAGGATGGTATCATTAAAGTGAAAGCTAGCTTTGTTCCCTCTCTCACCTGGTGCATGAGGTGGGACCCGCTTTATTTCTAACCCAATTCCACATGGACATGTTCCCAGGGGGTGAAGTTATTAAATATGCCGTGCACATCCTTTAGGCCCCAATTCTTCATCTAGTGAGTGCTGGGTGACTCCCAGTCTTTTCCAGCCTTAAGATTGGAGAACTCCACGACACTCATAATATTCACACAGATTTTCAGCTGCTTGGGAAAAATCTAATTTGATGGAAAGTAAACAAACCCATTAAATTAAAATCTGTATGCTTGTATCACTTGGTGGGTATTCCTATAGCCTATTTTCATTTGAAAGCCCCCCTCTTTTTTGGGGGGTGGTGGAAATCATCATTTCTGCTCTTTGGGAAAACGTAAGGGTGCGTTGAGCGGCAGTGAGAGCAGCGGCACCGGCTTTTCTGGTTCTGCGGTCCAGGTGGGGGCTCTGCCCTTCCCGGCCTGGTGCTCTTGGAATCTGAGAGCTCTGAACCGGAGGCCACCGAGGGGCCCACACGCACCCACACGTCAACTCCCTGCCCTGCGCGTGACCCTGGGCGCTGGGCAGCGCCTGCAGGGGGAGAGGCATGCGCGCCGCCCGCCCGGTGGCACTGAACTCCCAGGCTCCCGAGTGAGCCCAGGCTCCACGGTGCGCAGAACCCTGTCGCCACTGGCCGGCGCTCCCCAGACACAGGGCACAGCCGGCAGTAACGGGACACCCTGGTTCCTGGCGCGTCCTGGCCACCAATTTGGAAATCCATAAAAACCCTTGGCTTTAGCCATTGTTCTCTCTTCCTTCCTTCTTTCTTTCTCTGTTTCCTTCCTCCTCTCCCTCTCTCCTGCCTGCCTGCCTCCCTCCCTCTCTCCTAGGAGTTCAGGGAGGATTTCATTGCTGCGAAGCTCTAAATTTCCATGTCCATCGTGTGGGTCTTCCCTCGCTTGTGCGTTTAAGTTTTGTGCAGATAGATGCCTCTTTTGCTACTGGTTGGCAGCGCCAATGAAATGAATGAAGTTCTCACAGGGGTTAGAAGCCCCTACCTCAGGGGTCATGGTGCATAGTCTGAAAGGTGCATGACCCGGAGGATGAAAAGTCACCCATAATTACATTTTCGGTTCCAGAAAGACCTGCACGGAGGATGCTATGAACGGGGGCGAGCGCTGACGCCTGGAGATGCCGCATCTCTGGAACCCCGATTTGCAGCGATGGCTCTTTGGGGTCTTGGTGTCTAAACGAACGAACACAACAAACACACAGGAACTCGGATGCCTGGGCTCCAGCCACGGGAGGCACTAGTGGCTCCCAGTTCCTGCCGAAAGGGGGCGTGCGCCTCAGGCCGATGCATATTTGTGGAGAACGGCACCCAGGCGTCACATGAAAGACCATTTTAAAAACATTTTCAATTTATTTTAATTTGTGGGACTTCAGTGTCCCCAAGGCCGCATGTTCGCATTGCAAATGACCTCAGCGTGTTACCACGGGATGGGGGTCAGGTTCCATTCGGAGCTCCCTGCAGGGCCGCGGACTCCGCGGGCCACGGACGGCTCCGGCTCCGCGGCCGGTTCCAGCCCCGTCCCCACTGCGGTTGCGGCTGTGACCAGTGGCAGGACCGGGTCCGAGGCAGGAGCTTCCTCGGAGTTGCAGGACCCAGAGCACCGAGCCTGGCGCGCTCCGGAGGAGAGACAGTTGGACTGCCCGCCCAGCGCTCGGGTCGGAGCAGAGCGGGCGCCTGCACTCCGGGACCCCCAGGGTAACGGTTCGGGAGAAGGTCTCGTTGTTTGGTTACCTGGGCCCGGAGGACGCCTGGAGGATGCTTCTCAGGCTCTTCGCCGCCTCAAGAAGCCCAACCCTTCGCTCGCCGTTGGGAGCAACAAGTTTCGCTTTCCTGCTCACAGCACCGCGGCCGAGGGTCTGTGCGTGGGGCCGGGCATCCCCGCAACGCGGAGGCTTAGCGGGCACCTCTGGCGGACACCTCTGGGGGGCACCGGCGCTGCCCGGGGGCGGGGGCCGGGCCTGGGCTCGGGGAGGAGGGGTGCGCTGAACACTGAGCCAGCGGGGCGCTCCCGGTCCGATCCCGGATCCCGCCGCCTGCTCAGGGTCCCGGGTCCCTGCTCCCTTACCTCGTGCCCAGGGAAGGGAGGGTGTCAGAGGGAAGGTGGCCGGAGTGAGGAAGAGGCGAGAGCGAGCCGGACCTACGGGCGTTTGCACCGAAACTACCATGTTTGAAGGACCACTCCTTTCTCTGATCCTGTTTATTTTTGCACGTGGTGTGCGTGCGTGCGTGTGCCTGCGCGCATTCCTGTACTTTCGAAAGCATTTTCATTTTTAAGGCTGGATGCTGGGGAGAGCGCGCCCGTGCTACGCCGGGGGAGAGGCGGGGGCCCCGGAGGCGGTGCGGGGCGGTGGGGGCTCCCGCGGGCGCAGACGGGGGCGACTTCGGCTTTAAGGGAAGGCCCAGGGCTAGCGGGGAGCCGGGGTTAGGGACGGCGGAGGGGTGGGAAAGGAAGGGGTGCGGGGAGGAGCCCTGATGTAAGAATGTTAATGAGCGCTCCCCCAGCCCAGCCCCCACCGTGCCCCACCCCGCCCCGCACCCGCTGGAAATACAAGCCCGGCCTCTGCGCGCCCCGTGTGGTAACGCGCTCCGCCGCCGCCACGCTATTTGCTATTTAAACGCCGGTTATGGATCCAGGAACCGGCGCGAATCAATGAGATCAAACGCGAGGGAGATGCACCGTCAATTACAAGCACTTGGACAAGTCGAACTTTTTTTTTCTTTTACAAATGCGCTTTCAAAAGCCACCTTAGCAACGCCCAAATAGAAGCCACCTCTAAGCAAAATAGTATATATAAAGGGAGGGCGAATATATATATATATTTATAATAAGTATATATATGTAAATATTTACAGGCGCACAGGTTTACTCCCGGTGAACTTTTTTTTTCTTTCTTTTTTTTTTTTTTTTTTTTTTTTTAACGAGTGACCTTGCAAAGAAGGACTCTGGTTCCTCTCTATCTTTTGGCGAGTGCGCGCAGGGGGGTATCTGGTGTTCTTAGAGCGCCCGAGGGGGCGCAGGGACCGGGCGCGGAGCGTGGGGAGGACCGAGGAGGGTGGGCGGGGGGCCGAGGGCGAGCGGGCGGCGCGGGCGGGCGCTTTCCTGCGGCACCATGCCGTCCCTGCGGGCGCTGGCTCTCTCCGCGTGCGCCCTGCTCGGCTGGGCGGTGCTGGCCGGCAGCGCGGGCGGCGGCGGGCGCAGGGGGAGAGAGACGCCGCCGCCACCGCAGAAGATCGAGGTGCTGGTGCTGCTGCCCCGGGACGACTCCTACCTGTTCTCCTTGGCCCGGGTGCGGCCGGCCATCGAGTACGCGCTGCGCAGCGTGGAGGGCAACGGGACCGGGCCGCGGCTGCTGCCGCCCGGCACTCGCTTCCAGGTGGCCTACGAGGACTCGGACTGCGGCAACCGCGCGCTCTTCAGCCTGGTGGACCGCGTGGCGGCGGCGCGGGGCGCCAAGCCCGACCTCATCCTCGGACCCGTGTGCGAGTACGCGGCGGCGCCCGTGGCCCGGCTGGCGTCGCACTGGGACCTGCCCATGCTGTCGGCGGGCGCCCTGGCCGCCGGCTTCCAGCACAAGGACACGGAGTACTCGCACCTCACGCGCGTGTCGCCCGCCTACGCCAAGATGGGCGAGATGATGCTCGCCCTCTTCCGCCACCACCAGTGGAGCCGCGCCGCGCTGCTTTACAGCGACGACAAGCTGGAGCGCAACTGCTTCTTCACCCTGGAGGGTGTCCACGAGGTCTTCCAGGAGGAGGGTCTGCACACGTCCGCCTACAGCTTCGACGAGACCAAGGACTTGGACCTGGAGGACATCGTGCGCTACATCCAGGCCAGTGAGCGAGGTGAGCGGGAGGGGCGCGGGCCCCGCGGCAGCCCAGCCGCTCTCCCCGGCTCCCCCGGCACCTCCGTGCGCTTCTTTGCGGCACGAAGGACTCGGGGAGGGCGCGTGTCTGGTTGCCACGACCCTTCGACCCTTGGTCTGTCGCGGGGTGTAGGTAGAAAGCCCCGCGGAGGGGATGGGGCCTCGGGGAGGGGCGTCCGAGCCCGCAGCTCCAACAGGTGTGGGGAAGCCGCCTGCGCTTTTTCTCCCTGGCTCCCCCTTCGCCTGCACCTGGCGAGCGATTAGGGGCGCGCTGCGGGTGGGTGCCAGGCTCCAGCTGGGACATGAAAGCATTCGGAGGCCCGAAGGACTCGCCCAGCCCTTTCCCGACGTGCGCCCCTCCGGGTGCGGGAGCGCGGGCGGACTCGTTTCAGCCGCGCCACCACTCGGCTCCCCGCTCGGGTCTCGGGTCCCCTCTGCGGCTCCCTCCGCAGACCCCGCCTTTCTCTTAAAGGCTCATTGACCGCCCCCCTCAGTGCTTCCGTGGCCCCTCCGGCCTCGTATAGACGAACGTGTGTGGTTCCCACCGAAAACGCCTGCCCTGCCGCGCCTGCACCGGCGGCCGCTCCCCGGCGTGCGCGGCATCGGTCGCCTGCGCGCTGGGAGGGCGGCTTGGCCGGAGCGCGCTGGAGAAGCGGCGCGGACGCCCCTTTCCACGGGCCTCCCAAGTTCTCCCCGCGGGTCTGGGGTGGGGGGTTGACTAAGGTACCGCTACAGGGAGCGGGAGGGGAGCAGGTGGTCGCGGATACATAATCGCGAACGCGCCCATGTGGCCCGTCTACTGCCGAGTAGACGGTGGGGAAGGGCGGGCCGAGAGGGCAGCCAAACGCAGTTCCCTCCTGACCGGTGTCAGGTTTGGGGTGCACAGAGCTGGAGGGATCCCGCCTCTGCTCCCCCTCGCGCCTGGATTGTAAGTGGTGCAACCCCAGCAAAACTCCCCACGACCTCACGCCCAGCGGCCGAAGGGGCCAGGGCTGAGCCAGGTGCAGAGCTATCCCCGACTGGGCACGGTCGGCCGGGCACCTGGGCGCTGGCCGTGGGAGCCGGGAGGTGTCAGCAGCCGGTGAGAGTGGGTGGAGGGGCCCTGGAGGATGGCGCAGTGGCCACCGCCCTTCCCAAGTTGGCCACTCAGCCTCGTAGGGAGCACACGCTTCAGCGCGAGGAGGAGGGGGGTGTTGACAGTGGGGGTGCGTGGCCAAGTTTTGAGCTTTCAAACTCCAGTCGGTCTGCGCAGAATCCCTGCCAGCCAGCCAGGCGGGGCGTGCCGGCTGCGCCGATTATGAAAAACGGTGCTTGTCTCCTAGGCTGAGGACTGGCCACGCCCGGCCGGCGGAGCAGCCCACATCTGCTTCTTGCCTCCAGCGTTCCGGGCTCCTGCGGGCTCCTGCGGGCCCCTGCGGGCCCCTGTGGGCCCCTGCGGGCTCCTGCGGGCTCCTGCGGGCTCCTGCGGGCCCCTGTGGGCCCCTGTGGGCTCCTGCGGGCTCCTGCGGGCCCCTGCGGGCCCCTGAGGGCTCCTGCAGATGCGGGGCTGCTCTGGCCTCCGGAACCCCAGGCTCAGCCTGGGAGCTAGGAGTTGGAGATTTCCCAGGGCTAGTTGGGGTGGGTGTGTCCCCCAACCTCAAGATCTGCTCTGAAGATCTCAGTGCCCAGGGTGGTCCCTGAGCACATGGCCTCGGGGTTCCCGGCCCAGGGGACCTGTCATCCCAGATTAGGGCAGATCTCAGCCAGGGGCCCCTCAGCCGCACAAGGGGTGGCTGAGCCCAGGCAGCAGGGAGGGCAACTGTGCCCTGGTGGGCCTGGGGGCCTCCGAGGGGTTGGACTACAGCCTGTTGCTGCGGGTTAGCTTTTCATTACAAAAGCCTCGCCCACGTACCCAGTCTTTGCTCCTTTTCGTCTAAACTTGAATTTCGTGGTGGAAGTTTGCTTGGCTGACCTGTGTATTTTACAGGGGACAAAGGGTACCATTCCTACTCTAAAGTGTATTTCTAACCGTGACTTGGCAGATGTCAGAAATACAGAACAATTTCTCCCCCTCGCCCCGAAACCCCCTACCCCCAGGGGAGAGCTGCTTGATGACATGGCTCTCTCTGGGGATCTTTTCCCTTTTGCTAATCGCCATTACTCTGCCATAAGCAGTTAATGGGTTAACTGGGTTCAATGGGGTTTCATTTCCAGAGCCGTTGTCCAGGCTCAGGCCTTCACTGGAGAGGGAGCTTGGGCTGCTACTAAACCTCAGATTCCTCAGGTAAAGTGGGGGGCGTAGGGGCACCCCCATCTTAGGGATGCTGGGAGGATTAAATGAGTGAACACAGGCACGGGCGCCAGGTGCGTGGTGCACAGTGGACGTGAAGTGTTATCGCAGTGGCTGGCAGTCTGTGTACGTGATGAGCCTCACTGCCACTAGAAGGCCAGCCGTGTCCTGGGGAAGGACCCGGGGTAAGAGGCGGGTGCTCCGGACTTGCTGTGTCCTCTCCACGCAGCAGCTGCTTGGCCTGGGCGCTCACTTACCTGCTCTGAGGCGGCCCTTCCTCTTTTGTGAAATGGAGAGCTGGCCCAAGAGCCAGGCCCTTCACACTGCCGGTCGGTGGTTCTGATGGGTGCTCACTCAAGTGTGAAGATGCAATGGACTGTGTTTCTGTCTTTGAATATTCCGTATTAAACATCATAGAGCTAGAGAGTCCGCCCCCCCACCCCCACCACCTTTGGAGATCACATTTTAGCACTTTTTTGGGACTTAAGTTCATCTTCAAAATCAGATACAAATATTTGAATCTTTTAAAAGGTAAAAACTAACAATGCCACTATCTCAAATACTAATATGACTAAAATTTCATTTGGCTATATGCTGTACTGTAGAAAGAAAAACTAATATATAATAAAAGTATAATATGTTAATTAGACCGGACAGCTGAACAACCTTCTGGATGTCATTCCAGACGTCCTTCCAGATGAAGCCGCCGTGGCAGGGGCCAAGGCAGAGGCGGTTATGGGCAATCAGGCAGGCAGGTGAGTGGTTAGGGGTAATCAGGCAGGCAGGCAGAGTGGTTAGGGGCGGTGAGGCAGGCAGGCAGGCAGGCAGTTAGGAGCCAGCGGTCCTGGATTGCCAGAGGGATGTTTCACTGCCAGTTTAAGCCCGGTCCCACTGTGGGATTGGGCCTAAAACGGCAGTCAGACATCCCCCAAGGGGTCTCGCAAATCACCTGGATTGCAAGAGGGTGCAGGCTGGGCTGAGGGAGAGTCCTCACCCCATGCACAAACTTTGTGCACCAGGCCTGTAGTTAATAATGTGTCATTACTCTGGGCCTGCATGGCCACTGTAGAGATAACTGTGTTTAATCAGAAGAGAGCCATTTATTTTTAGAATTAAGCTGGGGGAAATGACCAAATGGTTGATCAGCAGAATTTTTAAGCAAAGAACCCATGATAAGTGAAATAACTGACCCAGCAGCGGGGAAGAAGCACTGCAGGCTGCCCTGTGGAAATGCTGAAAACCTTGGGAGTAGCGGGAGCCTTGTGAACAACAAAAATAAAGGTGCAATCTCTATTTTGCAAATAAAACCCGTTGTTATGTAGTGTAGGATCAGCCAGAGAGAAATCACTTTTCTTGAAAACATGTTATTTTTACGTAAGTTAGTTATACAGTTATATTGTTTACAAAGTAAGAAAATTCCAGGTGTCAGTACAAACCAGACCTACTGTCTCCTTCTCCCCATTTCTCACTGCCCAGAGGCAACTGTTTTCAACGCTTGCAGCTGTTTCTGTAGGTATTTGACCTCATACCTCTAAGTCCCATGTTGCTTTTGATTTTTTCAGTTTTAGATTTTAATCTCTTACCATCCCAGAAGAAGTTGCTGATTTAGTTCTCGTCTACTCCCTATTAACCACACACTCAAGTTTTCCTTCCAGTCTCTCCTCCAAGATGATTGCATTATAATTTTTGGTTAGCTCAGTAGTATTTAGTGTCTACATTATTATTACCTTCTAAAAATTATTTGTAGCTGAGCCATACAGGCTACTACGATGACATTTCCTTTCTCGCCCTACTTGTTTTCCTTGGGGTTAAAAAAAAGTCTATTTTTGTTTGTCTGCTTAGTTTCCTATGGAATTACTAAACCATCTACCAATTTTATATTTTAAGTCTCCTGAGCTGCCCCAGTTTAGTTATTTTCTAAACATGCTGCATTGTTGTAACTCCGGGTTCCTTCTTCAACATCCTCCTGCAACTCCCCCCCCCCCCCCCCCCCGACTAGGTCCCTCTGTGTTCTCTCTTGGTTCATATTCTTGTTTTAGTGGAACACATCCTCCAGGAGCTTTCTCAGAAAGGATGAATGAGAGCTAAAGTTTGAGACATCTCATGACTGAAAATTTCTTCATCCTACCATTACACGTATTTACAGAATTCTAGATATGAAATTATTTTCCCTCAAAATTTGAAGGATTGTCTTTTAGATTCCAATGTTGCTATGAGGGAGCTGGAATTGATTCCACTTCTTTATCAATAGAATGTTGTGTTTTTCTTTTTGTCCTGGAATTTTTTGGACTATTTTTATTGCTCCCAATGTTTTTACATTCCATTTTGATAGATTTTTATGCCAGTATTTTGCCTTATGCACTTGAGGATATTCAAGGGTAGGCCTCTTCAATCCAGAAACTCGTGTCTTTTAGTTTTGGGAAGATTTCTTTTTTTAAAAAATTTAAATATATTTTTATTGATTTCAGAGAGGAAGGGAGAGGGAGAGAGAGAGAGAGAGATAGAAACATCAATGAGAGAGAATCATTGATCAGCTGCCTCCTGCACGCACCCTACTGGGGATTGAGCCAGCAACCCAGGCATGTGCCCTGACCGGGAATCGACTTGTGACCTCCTGATTCATGGGCCAATGCTCAATTACTGAGCCACGCCAGCCGGACAGTTCTGGGAAGATTTCTTAAATTATTCCTTCAGTAATTTTATCATCTTCATTTTCTCTGTTTTCTCTTTCTAGAACTTGTTTTATTTGGATGTTAGATCTCCTGGATTGATACTTTACTTTTCTTATCCCCTTTCTCCCATTTACCACCTGTCTTTACAAAAATCCTTCTTGCCCTGGCTGGTTTTGCTCAGTGGGTAGAGCGTCGGCCTACTGTCTGTAGGGTCCCTGGTTTGATTCCCGTCAAGGGCACATGCCTAGGTTGCAGGCATGATTCTTAGTAAGGGGCATGCAGGAGGCAGCCAATTAATGATTCTCTTTCATCATTGATGTTACTATCTCCCTCTCCCTTCCTCTCTGAAATCAGTAAACACATATTAAAAAAATCTTTCTTACTTATTCTTTTGACGACTCCCAGGGTGACCATGGAGATTGGTTTTCCATCTCTGCTATCATGTTTTCAGTTTGCGGCACATGCACACCTTGCTTTGTTGCTATGCAGAAGCACCCCGTTCCCTTCAGGTACAGAGTTAAATGACAGACGGATGCAGCAGTCACATAGACAGTATGAAAATACGATTTTTAATATCGATAAAACTTACTGAGAACATGGACTTAGATCTGCTGCCAAAAGGGCTGCTCGTTACTTTCCCTCTGAATTAGGCAGGTTCATCCACTGAGTTCCAGATCAGCTGTCCGGCTGCAGGCCCCCTCCAGCACAGGCCGCTGGCCACATGACGAAGGTCTGCACACCGTGTGCTCTCCGAAAGCAGACACATCTCAAAGAGGAAGGAAGAAAGGGCGGTGTCCAATGTGCCCAGGGTTTTCTTCTCAACTCACCGGTCAGACAATTCGCTCTGTGGGGACAGAGCGGGTAAGTGAAGGCAGTTTGAGAGCTGAGTGTCACCGTATTAGAAGTTGCTCCAAACATAAACCGGAGCCTGGGGAAAGGCACGCGTACCCCCATTTCAGGTCTGCTACCTGGAATGTTTCTGTCTCCGGATGGACTTCTGTAGCCATCCCTTCGCGCTTCTCTCTGCCGTTCCTAGGGTGCCCTCGGGCGTGCACAGGAGCGAGGAGCCTCTTACAGAGGACACTGGCGAGATCAGGAAGTGGAGGGTGACATGGAACATTGCAACTTCTGTGGCAACTTGGAGAAAACAGGGCAGATTGACGGAAACTGCATCCAGAAACTTAGAATCACACCACCCTCCCTTTTAGAATATTAAAAATTTGACTCTTAAGTTAGTATTTGTATATTTAAATATACTTAAATACAGTAGAAACTGTCTACATGTTTAAATTAAAAAAATTTAAAAATATTTTTATTGATTTCAGAGGAAGGGAGAGGGAGAGAGAGATAGAAACATCAATGAAGGGAACCATCAATCAGCTGCCTTCTGCACGCCCCCTACTGGGGGCCGAGCCCACCACCCAGGCATGTGCCCTGACCAGGAATCAACCGTGACCACCTGGTTCATGGGTGGATGCTTAACTACTGAGCCACACGGCTGGGCAGAAACTGTCTTACTTGACCTCAGCGTTAGCAGCTTAGAGGATTAGCTGATGCCTCTTCTCTATAAACATTTTGCCCACTGGTGAGCGCTGCCAGGGGGCCTGCAGACCTCTCACACTTGTCCAGAAGCTCCCCAAGAGCTGTCCCAAATCTGTTCCTGCCAGTTCTGCTTACTCATTTAAGCATGTAGTTTGATGAGTTATGTAAACTGATGAAACACGAGTAGGAAGAGAATGCTATTTTAATGAAAACTATTTTAATCTCCTGATAGACCGTCTAAAGGCAGGTTTCTAAAAATACTTGCTGTTGAGCTAGGCTGGAATGAAACAACCATCCGAGATTAGGGATTATCCTACCAACCTAGGCGGATTCTCCGCTCTGCCCGCTTTGCCAGCATCTTGAAGTCCTTGCTCCAACTTAGACTGAATCGTGATTTTTATGCAAGAAAAACAGTACCCTGCCCTGAACTTGGAAGCTAAGGGTTCCCTTTGAGAGTTAAGCCACATGGTCAACACACAAATAATCCAAGTCTGCTCAGATACACACAGTGCCACTGAGGTCACTCTTGCTCGGTCCAAGGAGGCACTGACATTTAAAGAGAGAATGTGTCTGCCAGAAGGAATGGGCCTTGATGATGAGGGGGACGGAGAGCAGCAGATGGGCCAGGACTGTAAAAAATAGAGAAGTGACACAGAGGCCAGTGCCGGGCGGATCCCAGCCAGGACTCAGGGAAGCTTCTGCTCTGGCCCGAGGACCCAGCCTGCTTGGTCTTGGGCCGGGGAGATGTCTCTTAGGCACGTAGAGTCATCAAGCCCCGATGCCTTCCATGCCTGAGTCATCCAACGGAGGGACCTGCTTCTGAGTTCATCCTCACCACCCCCCCAGTCAGCGTGCCTGGGTACCCGGCGGCGCAGACATGTTCATGCGCTTTGGTCCTCGTTGAACTTCAGTCATCTGCCTTTCAGCTCATCTGAAAATGGCTGAGTCAGGTGATGAGGACTCTGTCCTCCACTAGTGATGTGCTGGCAGAAGGAGGTGCTGCGTCCGGGAGGGAGAGGCAGACTTCAGACTATGAGGAATTATCAAAAAGTGATGAGGGCTGCGGGCAGGCCGCCGGCGCGAGTCTACCTGACCCTCCCAGAGACGCCCCCTCATGGAGCCCACGCTCTTCAAACGTGTCCAGCTTCAGCCCCTTGTTGGCTGTTTTGTGGGACACCTTCACTCTTTTTTGATTTCAGGGACTAGAATTAATCATTGCTGAAACAAAGCTCTAAATCATAATGAGTAACGAGGTGTTTCTTCGAAAACCCCCTTACAGAATTTGATTATGTTTCCTAAACGTGTAAGTATTTTCATGGGCACACACAGCACCTACTCGTACAGTGGCAGCTCTAACGAGTTCTGTATTGTTTAGAAGCAAGTGCTCCGGAGCCTGAGGCCTGGACACGGAGCCCCTTTGCATAAGGAAGGTCGGAGCCGTGATCCGACGCTCTCCGTGCAGGTTGCAGCACACGGAACGCCAACAAGCCCTGACCCTCGCATTGCCAAGGCAGCTTTGGCTCGGCCTGGAGTTGGCCTGACGTCTTCCCGCGCCCCTGCTTTCACAGAGAGCAGACACAGCTCTGAGAGCCATCGCGCGGGGTGGCACCCAGCCTCTCCAGGTCGCTCCCCTCCTCTGTGTGCACCAGGCACGGGGTCCCCGTCATGGGGACGGACAAGGGACAGCGACAGTGATCACGTTTCCTGGGTCATGGCCAGGTCCCTGCTTCACTCCAGGCCGTGGATGCTCTTATGAGCAGGCAGCAATACTCTGGAGCTGCTCAGCGCGCCGCGTGCCTGACAGCGTGGCTCTGAGCGGAGAGAGCAGGGGAGGGCCCGGCGCTGTGCCTGTCCCGCTGATGCTGCACAGCTCGGGAGGAATGTTTCAGAATCCAGGCAGCAGAAAGCCCAGGCCCCTCCCTCGTCCTCTGATTTGCCACATGAAGGGCCTCCCCAGAACCATTAAGTTTGCTTTTTCGGGAAAAGGTATTTACCATGCGATTAGGTATAAAAAGCACTTGGCACTCCTCGCTGTCTCCTATTGGGCAAATCTGGCGACTCATTGGGAGCAGTTTGTAAAACTTCATTTTGAAGGAATCTTATGTTTTGGGAAAAGATGTAAGAAATTAATAAAAAGCCATCTGTGCTACAGACGTCACCAGGTTTTTAGCAATTGTTAGCATTCTGCCGCTTTTGCTTCATCATTCCAAATCTCTCCCTTCTCCCCTCCCCTCCCCTCCCCTCCCCTCCCCTCCCCTCCCCTCCCCTCCCTTCCTCCCCCCTCCCCTCCCCTCCCTTCCCTTCCCTTCCCCTCTCCCCGCTCCCTCCAAATACGTACACATGTAACCACACGGACAATTACTATCTTGTAAGGAACTATTTGAGAGTAAGTACAGCCATCATGCTCTTTGACTACTAAGTACTTAGGTGTGTTTCCTCAGGAAAAGGACATTCACTTGCACATCCACAGCAGAACTGTGAAAAAACAAATGCAATACTGTTACCTGGTTTTCAGACCTTATTCAGGTTTCTCCAGTTGTCTCAATAATGCCCTTTATAGCAAAACTTTTATTATTATTTTTTAAAGGGCCAGGGTCCACTCGAGGGGCACACATTGCACTGAGCTTTCTGTTCTTCCGTGTCTTTTCGTCTAGGACAGTGGTTCTCAACCTGTGGGTCACCACCCCTTTGGGGGTCGAACGACCCTTTCACAGGGGTCGCCTAAGACCATCCTGCATATCAGATATTGGCATTCTGATTCATCACAGTAGCAACATGACAGTGATGAAGTAGCCATGAATATAATGTTATGGTTGGGTCACAACATGAGGAACTGTGTTTAAAGGGCCAGAAGGTTGAGAACCACTGGTCTAGGACATCCCCCCAGCCTGTCTTTGTTGGTCACGAACTTGACCATTTCAAGGCGCATAGGCCAACTCTCCTACAGACTATCCCCACACTGGCTGCTCCCCCCCCCCCCCCCCCGTTAGGTTCAGGTCACCCACTTTTTCGGCTTTGGTCCTGGGTGGGCTGCGTCCGGAGGCTCAGGAGCCTCTTCCTAGGGTTGGTGACATTGGCTTCCATCCTTGGCTATGGTGGCATCCTCTGCATTTCGCCACTGTCATGTCACTACTTTTCCCCTCTGTAATCCAGATGTGTTCGCGAGGACACTGGCAGGGATGTGAGGACCCCGCGCCTTGCCGGCCGTCCCCCGCTGGTCTCGGCGTCCTCACCGTGTCCTGACAGGGCGTCTCACACGTGTTGTTGTTCCTCCCTCCCAGTGGTGATCATGTGTGCGAGCAGCGACACCATCCGGGGCATCATGCTGGCGGCGCACAGACACGGGATGACCAGCGGGGACTACGCCTTCTTCAACATCGAGCTCTTCAACAGCTCCTCCTACGGTAACGCGGCCCCTTTCCCTCGCGGGCTGGGGTGTCAGGAAGGGGCAGGAGAGAGCCAATAATGTGAGTTGCGTCAACAGATTTCATTTTCACAGCTAGGAGTTTAGAAATTGGGGATCCTGAACACGGTTGTGACTTCTAAGTTCTCAAGCTTTGCTTCTCTGAGAACTCAGCAAGGAAGATCCCACATAACCCTGATGCTAGGGCATCTGTCTCCGGATGGTCTTAAATCCAGGCCCTACACACCCCTGCCTCGTGCACTTCCAACGGCAGGTTGCCTCCAGATGGACTGCTGGGATAATTTTTAATAGGATGGAATAGACTAGAACAGTGGTCGGCAAACTGTGGTTCGCGAGCCACATGCGGCTCTTTGGCCCCTTCAGTGTGGCTCTTCCACAAAATACCGACTTATGCGCATGGGCCACGAAGTTTCAATCGCACTGTATGTGCGCGCCCACACGTGGTATTTTGTGGAAGAGCCACACTGAAGGGGCCAAAGAGCTGCATGTGGCTCACAAGCCGCCGTTTGCCGACCACGGGACTAGAACATATCAATGTAATGGAATAGGATACGTCAAAGTGGGTCACACATAGCATATGTATTGTTTCATAAAACTTTTATGTTAGTAACTAGAGGCCCGGTGCATGAAAATTCATGCACTCAGAGGGGTCCCTCAGCCCGGCCTGTGCCCTCTCGCAGTCTGGGAGCCCTCGGGGGATGTCCGACCGATGGCTTAGGCCCGCTCCCTACCTTGGCTGGCCTGGCGCTGCCCGCTCGCCGGCCCTGCCCCCCGCCAACCTGTGGTTCTGCCTTTCAGTCGATTTGCATATTAAGCTCTTATTATATAGGATACGTTCATGTGTATATATTTATGCATGTTACTCATATGTTTGTAATGGGCCACAGTGTGAAAGAAAGAAAACAGTCATTACTGTAAACTGAAGTGCAACATTTTGAAAGTCTCTGCTCCCAGCCCCCCTTCATTTCAGATTACTTATTACTTATTAGTTAAGCTCCCATGTAGAAGCTCAGGAGGCATCAACATAGGCAATGGAAAGCATTTAATTTCTTTCTTTAAAAAAAATACTTGTATTGATTTCAGAGAGGGAGAGAGAGATAGAAACATCAATGATGAGAGAGAAGCAATAACTGGCTGCCTCCTGCATGCCCCCACCCCACTGGGGATTGAGCCTGCAACCCAGGCATGTACCATTGACAAGAATCAAACTCAGGACCCTTCAGTCCGCAGGCTGACACTCTATCCATTGAGCCAAACCAGTCAGGGCTTTACAAAAATATTTCTAATAAAATGAGCGCTATAGTATGGGTACACAGTATTTTATTTATTTATTTATTTATTTATTTATTTATTTATTTATTTATTGTTTCTATTTATTAAAGATTAAGAATGCATTGAAAATATAAAAAAATATATACAATTTAATGAATTATTTGCACAGTATTTTATAATGTCGACATGTCATCTTAACTTTTTCTGTCTCCTATTTTTAAATATTTGTGTTGCTCCCAGAACGAGGCTAATTGAGTGTGCATGCCTGTATGTACACACACACACACACACACACACACACACTCACACACATTTGTTCTGTAAGATAAATTTCTAGAAGAATTTCTGGGTCAAAGGTTATATGCATTTAAGTTTTGATAGATATTGCCAAGTTATCCTCTAGAGCAGTGATGGCGAACCTTTTGAGCTCGGCGTGTCAGCATTTTGAAAAACCCTAACTTAACTCTGGTGCCGTGTCACATATAGAAATTTTTTGATATTTGCAACCATAGTAAAACGAAGACTTCTATTTTTGATATTTATTTTACATATTTAAATGACACTTAACAAAGAAAAATCAACCAAAAAAATGAGTTCGCGTGTCACCTCTGACACGCGTGTCATAGGTTCGCCATCACTGCTCTAGAGAGCTTACCAATTTACACTTTGCCACAGTGTTTGAGATGGTCTGTTTTCCTACATCTTTGTCATCTCACTGCTAAATTACTTTACTTATTTTAATTTCTTTTCATGTCCATAAGCAAAGATTCGCATTTTTTCTTCATTTGAACTCTGCCACGTTCAGTGCCCCCACGCCCCACCCCCGCCTTCCCTCTGAGAGGCGTCCGTCTGTTCCACGCTTCTATGTCTCTGGACCTATTTTGCTTATCGGGCTATTTTGTTCATTGGGTTCCACAAGCTCCTTCTGTTTTTCCGCGCCCTCAGTCATAGTGAATTGCACCCAACCTCAGTGACACAAGAGGACAGTGAGGGCTCCAGGGGCCGTGTCTTCATTCCAGGCAAGACAAAGGGGAAGATGAGAGGCAGCTGACTCAATTCCGTGTGAAGAGCTCTCTGGAAGCCCCTCACTAACTCCTGCCTACACAGCATTGCCTGCCCCTCCTTGTGAGCGGGGCCAGGAAATGTGTACATCTAGCTGAACCCACCGCAACCCCTGATCAACGCAGGAATCGTTAGGAAGAAGGGACGATGGCTGTAGGTAGAGAGGCCCCTGTCCATGCTTGTCCCAGACCCCGAAGCACCTTTCCTCCTCAGAGCAGAGACCGTGAACAGAGCCTGTGGCCGGCAGAGTGGCCCTGAGCAGGGCCCTGGGCCCTGGTGCCCATCGTCGGTAAAGGGCCTTCTCTGAAACGTGGTGCCCTAAGGATCCTGCATGTTCATGCAGAGTTCTGCAGCACCCTTCTCCCCCGTGCACCCTCACCCTGAGCTCTAATGCCCATTCTAGAGAAAGGTTCTATTTCAATTAGTATTTAATTGACATTGGATTTTTTCTTTCTTTTTTAAAAATTTAAATTCTTTATTGTTGCAAGTATGGCATGTCTCCTTTTTTCCCCATTGACCTCTCCCCACCCGCTCTTGCCCCCCAGCACATGCCCTCACCCCTACTGTCTGTATCCATTGGTTATGCTTATATGCGTGCATACAAGTCCTTTGATTGATCTCTTTCCCACCCCCCACCCCTCCCTTGCTTTCATATTGGATTTTTTGAAAACATTTTGACAGTGTGTTCATATTGACTGATTACTAGGTTGTTTGATCCTGATGAGCTCTCAAAGATACTCTCATGTCTGCCTGAATTGTATTATTACAGGAGCTCAGCATATATTATGGGGGAATTGGAATGATGGAACATAAGACTGAAAGGATAGATTTACAAAATCTAGAGCAGGGGTCCTCAAACTTTTTAAACAGGGGGCCAGTTCACTGTCCCTCAGACCATTGGAGGGCCGGACTATAGTTTAAAAAAAAACTATGAACAAATTCCTATGCACACTGCACATATCTTATTTTGAAGTAAAAAAACAAAACGGGAACAAATACAATATTTGTATTTGCATGTGGCCCGCGGGCCGTCGTTTGAGGACCCCTGATCTGGAGAGAAGATGACGTACGTTGTTCCCTTGAGTTTTTGTTAGTACCATGGTGGCGTCTTCTTTGCAGTGAGTTGGGTGGAAGGCTACTGGGGCAACCCCGCTGGGACTGTTCGGAACTTTCCCATCTTCTGAGAACTTGGAGGGCACAGGATGTGTTCCTTTCTGCGTAAATGTAGCAAGTGCAATGGAAAAAACAAAGTTTTAAATTTTATTTAATTTTAATTAATTTACATTGAACTAGTCACCCATGTGGCTAGTGACTCCTGGGCTAGATGGGTCAGCTCAGCGCAGTCAGTGACGTTTCCAGCCATTTCTTCCTGGAAGCCCTGTTTTCCCGAGCGTTGGTGGCACCGGCTACTTCTGGTTCTCTGTGAGCTCCTGTCTCCCTCTCCTCCTTCTGCCCCCCCAAAACAGCCAGCCCTCCTTCCCACTCCCCTGCACTCTCTCACCCAGTGCAGTCAGCCCCTGGTTCTGACCCTTAGGCTGTAGAAATGACACCCACATTCCTCGAGCCTTCACCCCTCTTTCTGTTCAGACTGTTGTTCCCCACCCAGCCTGGTGCTACCACCGGGCATTCTGCAGGCCGTCACCTTGGGTTGACCGTGACCCTAACTGACACCCTTATGATGTCCATCCGCCTCCTCCATCTGACTCTGCTCTTTCCTCTAATGACACCCCCTTCTTCCCCCTCTGCATCACCGCTGACGCCTCTCGCTGTTGTCCCTCACTCCCTCGCTCTGCGGAGTCTTGAGATTCCTCTTGCGCCGTCCTCTGCTTGCATTCCCAGGCCCTCCCTGTTTTTGTGATTAAAAGAGCAGTAACTAATTATGAGGGAACATTTCCTAGATTCAGAAAAACACACCCCAGACAAAAGAAAGGGAAAGAAAATGGAAGAAAGAGAAAAACTCGCCCATGATTCTCACCACCCAGAGAACCGCGGTTGATTTTGGGGGTATGACTCCCCACGTGGAACCTCTCGCCTGGATGCCTGTGGCTGTGAGCCTTCCGTGCCCCCCACCCTAATCCATCGCGATTTCCCAGGCCTGGTTCTGATCATGCATCTCCGTTCCACTCATAAATCTCCAGAGGCCCCCAGTTGTCTGTGGAATTAAATGTGTCCCACACGCCAAGCGCCAAGCCGACCTCTGCTTCCCTCGTGCCCAGCAGCCCCGTGTGGGAGGCGTTACTGACACAACACACTGAGAAACCCACAGCAGCAAGTCCTAGGATCAGTTATGTTTGCGACTAGACACCTATTTATTTTGGCTTAAGCTTATTAAGCACTATTGTTTCCATTCTTTTTTTTCTCCTCAGAAAACAAAACTTCAAAATCATTATCTTTTATTTTTTAATATGTTTTTATTGATTTCCGAGATGAAGGGAGACAGAGAGAGACAGAAACATCAGTGATGAGAGAGAATCATGGATCGACTGCCTCCTGCACGCCTCGTACTGGGGATCGAGCCTGCAACCCGGGCCTGTGCCCTTGATGGGGAATTGAACCATGACCTCCTGGCTCCTAGGTTGACGCTCAACCCACTGAGCCACGCTGGCCGGGCTTATGTTTAGATGATGGCAGACAGATTTATTGGATTGGATTTCATTTCTTTCAAAATAAAAAAGGTTTTCCCTATTGTAGTAGCAGAGGGTGGCTGTTTCCAGTGGCGTGTGCTTGTTCTGGTTGCACAGCCCAGCACCAGCAGGGTTAAGCTTTCCCAGGAGAGAGCCCTCCCCTCCCAACCCCCAGCTGAGAAACTCCACCCTCTTTGCCTCAGACACACCACTCCTGCTGAGTCTTGGCACCGCAAATCAATGAGAAACAAATCAATAAGCATTGATCGCAGGCCTCTGAGGAATGGCTTCCTCCACGGCGGCGGGCAGAGGTTCTGGGCATCTCCACACTCTGGGGCCTTCCTGACAGCAGCTGGTCCCCAGCCGACCCCACAGCTCCCTCTCTGAGCACAGGCATCACGGCTGCTCCTCACACCAGGCCTCCTCCGTGTTGGGGAGGCTTCGTGTGGGAGGAGGAGGACTTTGTCAGGTCCTGTTGGGTGGCTTGACATTCAGGCTTTGCTCACTGAGCACAGATCCAGCCCTTAATGAATTTTGCCCGTGGCTCTGTCTTATTGTTGAACAGCTGCTGCGGCCGCATTTGCACCTTAGCCTGTGCCTCCTGCTCTGCCCGGCGAGCCTTCCCGTCCTCCTCGCCGCCTGTTAAAATCCTTCCTTGGAGCTGGCTGCCTCTTCCTCTACACCCTGCACTGTACCCCCTCTTTCTCCCCAGGGAGCTGCCACCTGTAATAACTCAGCTGTCACCCGGCTATCTCTACTCCTTTTCTCGAAGGGGGTGGAGACTGTCCAAGACACTTATGAAGTCCACGGGGGTGGCTCCACGGACCTCTGACCAGGGCTCAGTGACCCCATGTTGTCCGGCTTCAGCCGTGACGGAAATCCCAAGGCCACCAGCTCCTTTTCTGTAAGAGTGGGGACGGGCCTCGGAGCCCTGGCCTCACACTCCAGCGTCTGCCAGGGGCCTGGGCTCAGCGCGAACAAATGACTTTGGAGTCGGACTCCAGGGGCTGACTTCCCTGCTGTGTTCCCAGGTCTCCAGGGATCACAACGACAATTCATGGGAGCATCAGCTTATTGTCCACCCTGGACGGCCACATTTCCTTCGGGGCGCTGAAGGCCACGCATTTTCTAAAAAAGCGAAGTAATAGAAAGTGCTGGTTTCACCCACGTCATTTGCCTTTGCTTTTGTGAAGGGAGAGCTGGGAGGCAGCGGGGCACCCAGCTTCCCGTGCCTCGGTTTCCTCTCTGTGAAATCGAGACGATCATTGTACCCACATCCCTGGGTCCTGGGAGGAAGAAGTGAGTTTCTCACTATAAAGTGCTCGATAACGGGAGATGATTGCTATCTCTCTGCTCAGTGCGTGGGAGCAGTTTTCATTTCACGGATGCACCGGTGAACACCGTCCCGTAAATAATGTGATGGTGTTGCCAGCGCTAAGCCCTCGCACTCACCTAAACGACTTCTCATTCTGAAGAGTTCCAAAATGCTTCAAGAACTATTGATAATCTGAAACTTGTCCGCCTTAGCAGTGCCACCTCTCTCACCCTGCGCACACCCGTCGTCACACAGCCATTCCTGCCACCCCCTCCGCCCAGTGTCAGGCCGATGGCACCAAAGCAACAGCTTGGCTGACTGAGTGTGAATGAGAAAGAGTGAAACTTACTTCTCTTAAAAAATGTGTTTTTATTGATTTCAAAGAGGAAGGGAGAGGGAGAGAGAAACATCAGTGATGAGAGAGAATCACGGATCGGCTGCCTCCTGCACACCCCACACTGGGGATCGAGCCTGCAACCCAGGCCTGTGCCCTGACCGGGAATTGAACCGTGACCTCCTGGTTCCTAGCTCAATCCTCAGTTACTGAGCCACGCCGGCTGGGTGAAACTTACTTCCTGTACCGCCCATCCTGCAGTTCTCGGGGACTGAGAGTACAATTTCACGGTGACTATAAGTAGTTGAGGCCACAGAGCTCTTATTTCTCTCACATTTCAAAGGGACACGTGTCCGGAGGGCCTTCTTCTTTGAGGATCGCGATGCTCGTTGTCACATGGTATCCAAGTGCAAGACCATGACAATACCTCTTGCCCCGGCTGCCCCTAGTAACCTGTCGAGACACATGGGAGTTGGGAAGGGAGAAAGGGCCCTTTATGGTGACTGGCTTGGAATGATAAATATTTTCATTTCTCCCGTAGGAGATGGCTCGTGGAAGAGAGGAGACAAACACGACTTTGAAGCGAAGCAGGCGTACTCATCCCTCCAAACAGTCACGCTGCTGAGGACAGTGAAACCCGAGTTTGAGAAGTTTTCCATGGAGGTGAAGAGTTCTGTGGAGAAACAAGGGCTCAATGAGGAGGATTACGTAAGTGCCTGATGGCGAGCCGAGGCCGCCAGCATTCTGAAAACAGTCCCCTGCTTAAACCAGAGGTGACACAGTGTCCCGTCTGAGCCATTCGAGGATTCCCAGGCTCACGTCTGAATGTCACTGTGCTTTCTCTGCGTGTGTTTTTTTTCTGGCCAGCTCCCTCCACCCCCCACCCCCCACCCCTATCCCAGCACCCCCCAGCACCCCCACCCTGCACCTACGCTTTCCAACTGCTACAGGGAGCAAATTGCTTGTCGTGGGCGCTTGTGGTGGGCCGAGCAGATGTCTGTAGACTTCCATCACTTGGCCGGCGAGGAGCGTGCTGGGGAGAAGGGGGACGAAGGGTGCGGAGCTCGCGTGCCTGATTTTCCCCGAGCTCGGAGGCAGGCGGTATTTCGGGGTTGAGAGACTGTCTGTCGGCAGTCGGTCTCGGCTTTCTGACAAGCCTCTTCTCTCCGTGGCTGTGCCATGGCCCCTTTGGCTGCAGGCTGTTTCCTCCCCCGTATCCCAGAGCTGCCCATCAATTAGTGCTGTTGTGACTGCGGCATTTTCCAAGAGTGGACGGGAGTCAGGTCAGGCCAGACTATGGGAGACACAGGGGCACTCGTCTCTTTGATGCCACCTCACGTGGCGCCATGTGTTGCTGTCGCGGGCAGGCTTTGCTGGGTGCCCGCACATCCCGGAGCCACTTCTGTGAAGAGCAGGGTGAGCAGGAGCCCCAGGCGGGTTGGGTAGACGTGCTGCGTTCCCAAACTGTCCACTCCCCGAGTCCAGAGCAGAATAGAGCACCTTCTTAATTTTTTAAAAATTTGCTTACATTTTCAATGACAGGTGACTGAGTATTGTTTTGTATTGGTTTCCAGTGTACAGCACAGTGATTAGATAATCGTATACTCTACAAACTGATATTTTCAGTATCCATCCAGCACCATACAGCGTTATCACAGTATTATTGACTGTATTCCCTATGGGGTACACTACCACCTGATTATTCTGTAGCTATGAGTCTGCTTCTATTTTGTTTATTTGTTCATTAGATTCCACACGTAAGTGAAATCATATGGTATTTGTCTTTCTCTGACTGGCTTAGCTCACTTAGCACCGCACGCCCTGCGACTATTCCGTAACTTCCAACTTGTACTTCTCAATCCCTTCACCTCTGTTACCCAGTCCCCCACCCCCTTCCCTCCGGCAATCACCAGTCTGGTCTCAGGGGAGCGGCTTTGTAATGACCGATGGATGGCGTGGGTAGTCCCTGCCCAAGGTGGATAGCAACCACTTCAAAAGAGAAGGTCACTTCCAAACAGGCCTCTCCCAGCTTCTTTCCTTGAAGTACCACGGGGTATAGGCCTTGGCCTTGGGCAGACCTCCATTCAGAGCCTGGCTCTAGCACTTCCTCGCTGTGTGAGCTGGGCCAAATGACTTAGTCTCTCTGGTCCAAATTATTTCTCCCTGTTGGGAGGATTACAGATAATCTATCTGAAGCACTTAGCAGTATCCCTGTCAAAAGCTGGAACTCAATAAATGAGGCCTCTTTTGTACTATTGTTATAATATTATACCTGTCTCCATAGGAATTTTCCATCCAATGACACACGAAGGGTCTTATAATCAAATTGAGTAATGTTTTCCAAGCATGTCAAGCTCGCAGATGGCAGGCCGCATGCCTCGTTCATTTAAACTACATGCTTGTCTAAGATGTTGCTTATTATACCTACATCATTTAGAATACCGTTTGTCTCTCTAAATCAGCACTGCCCAGTGATTACGCAATGTGAGCTGCCAGAGAGCCACATATGTAATTTAAAAGTTCCTAGTAGCCACATTTAAAAGAATGACAATAACCAGGTGGAATTAATTTTAATAAGACATTTTACTTGGCTCATAAAAAAGATTATTTCAACATTAACCAATGTAAAAATTATGAAGGAGATTGTATATTCTTTTTATTGTGTGCAGTCTTTGAAGTCCAGTGTGTATCTTGCCCTTACCACATACCTGCAGGTCTAGGGCTCAGGAAACATGCGTGACTGGTGGTTGCTACACCGGACAGTGCGTTCGGAGTTATGACTGAAACAGGCCCAGCGGCATAGAACCCAAGTGTAAGGAAAGCCATGGCAGTGTCACCACCAAAGCCTTTGCCCCAAGAACATGAAAGGACAGAGAGGGCGCGGAGCTTCCTTCCGCGGGCTGTCTGCGGTGGCCTGGGCCAAATGGAAGACACCCAAGTCTTTCACACCTGCCACTGTGTTATTTTACTTTACCAGGGTTATATTAATCTATGGCTTCAGAGCTCAACAACGGTGTCCTTTTTATCTGGCATCCTTCCTGAGGTGGTTGAAGTTCAAGTATTTCACTATAGGCCGTCCAACTTAATGATACTCATTGGGAAAAAAGTGGCATTCCAACATATTACTGGATCATTCTTTTTTGTTACCAGTCTTTCTTCTATTCAGACTATTAAGTCTTATTTTAAGGGTAGTGCAAGAAAACTTTTCATTGGGAGGGTATTCCTACGACAAAGATCCGTAATACATTCCAAACCAAGTGCATTAGAGATTATTGGTAGTTGTAGATTATAGTACTGCTTCTCTCTCATGGTGGGATCATCTAAAACCCTATATAATAAAAGCCTAATATGCTAGGTGTCTGATCATCTGGTGACTGGTCAACTGTTCAACCAATCGAAGTATAATACAGTGGGGCCTTGACTTACGAGTTTAATTCGTTCCGTGACGGAGCTCGTAACTCAAATTACTCGTACGTCAAATCTTAAAGTGAATGAGTGAGACACGTGATGCTGGGCTGATGTTGTGGCATTCACTGTGATGTTCGCTGCACCAACTAGCGGTGGGGTATCTGAAGCTGGCTAGTAGCCCGAATTTTAGCTCACAATTCAAAGCAAAACATCGGAGACAGCTCGTATCTCGAAAAACTCTTTAGTCGGGACACTGGTAAGTCAAGGCCCCACTGTATGCTAATGATATGCTAAGGCCGCTCAACAGCTCGCTATGATGTTCACTGACCACCAGGGGGCAGATGCTCCAACTGGTAGGTTAGCTTGCTGCTGGGTCTGGCCGATTGGGACTGAGCGAGATGGGCTGGACATGCCCTGGAGCCCTCCCGTGGTCCCTCCCTGGTCCTGATCATGTACTGGTGGGGTCTCTCAGCCTGGCCTGCACCTTCTTGCAACTGGGACCCCTTAGGGGATGCCAGAGAGCTGGTTTCGGCTCAATCCCGCAGGCCACTCCCCTTGGGAGGGCGCCAGGCAAAGGGCTCACGGCTGGTGAGCACTGCTGCTGCTGCTGCTGCAGTGCGAGCCTCTCCCGTTCGGACTGATTTGGCGTGAGCCCGTGGAAGGCGCAATGGGGCCAGGATGAGTGGGAGCAGCAGGTAGGAGCTGCAGGTGGCATTGGACTGCGGGTTTCAGCCCAATCCTTGCAGGCCACCCTGAGGGACCTCACTGGTGCCCGAATTCGTGCACCGGGCCTCTAGTTGATTTTATAAATACAGAAAATGGTAATTTTAAGTAGAAATTGGAGCTCATTGTAATTGCTTATTGCAGTGCTGAAGGTGGTCTGTCTGTCATATCCATGCCTGTGTTCCTCAGGCTCTTTGAAGGCCAGTTGCAGGTTTGTCAGGTGAGCATAGACAGGTGGCTATGGTGACCACAGTGGGAGAGGGAGACCCGGGCGCCCAAGAACCAGGAGCCAGTGTGGCTGGGACTCATGGTCAAATGTGCGGGAGATGCTAAACAAGACCAGCAAGACTTAGTGGTCTTCATTCTGGGGCTCAGCTCTTTTCTCGGTCTTTCTGCTTCTCTAATTTGTACTCATCTGCTTACTTAGAACTTAAGTTCAGGACACCCATCATGGGCTCTTCAGCCCCTGCTCTGGATCCTACATCCAGAAACTTCCATGGACTCTCTGGTTAGTCTCCCAATTTTCCACGCATTTTCTACACAGTCACTTGGCCTGTGAGTAAGGACACATTTGTTTCTTTTCAATTCTTCTAAGTATGCTTAATTAAAAGTTTACTCAAGTGTATTAAATGAACTAAAGTATTTAGTAATAATAGCTTACTTTTATTGGCTGCTTCCCATGAGCCGCGCATACAGGAAGGGAATACAAAATAAACTTTGATGGGCCTGGCTGCGTCCCAAGGCAGCACTGAATACAAGCAGTGAGGTGGGCACCCTTGCCTCGTTCTCCACTTTACTAGGAAGAACATAACAGACTTCATCCCTGTTCATCTCACCACGTAAGCATGATGCTCACTGTGGGGTTTTGGGGAGCGCCTTCATGAGATTATGCAAGTTCCCTTTTACTCCTTGTTGGTGAAATTTTGTTTTGTCAAAATGACATCTTTTTTTAGGATAATTAAAAGCAAAACACAACAAACACCACACTTTTTATAATGCAGGTTGAGGGAAGACTTTGAACACGGGACCTTATTGCAGGTATTCTACATTGTATTCTATCCCTGACTATGTCATACATGTTCGTGTCACATTTGTCATATTGGCATGTTGGTGGCATGTGATCGTCTCAAAATGCAAAAATTCAAAACTTTAACATTTTTTTGTAAGGCTCTATTGAAACATTGGAAGGATGGAGTGGCTATGATTTTTAAAATCAATTATTATTTTATCTTTTAAACTTACCAAATTTTGATGGCTAATGAAATTTTGTTTCCAGAAAGTTGATTTCCTCTCCCATCCTGGCCCTTCTCCCTTCCTTCCTCTCTCCTCATTCTATATCCACCTCTTGCCCTTTTAAGTATCGACTTTTTAATTGAGCTAATTGGATATTTACATCCAGTTTTAAGATGCAGTACAGAGATCACTTGTATACATGCCCGTTTCCCCCACTGGTAACATTTTGGAAAATTACATATAAAATCACAGATGGATATTGACACTGATACAATGCACTGATTTCAGATTTCCTCAGTTTCATTTGTGTGTGTGTGTGTGTGTGTGTGTGTGTGTGTTAAGTG